AAAGCTTCTCATGCATCCGTTCTCTGAATTTTAATAAAAGCTTATACACTTGTAAGGCAGATTACAATAATACTTTTTTAAAAAAGTTTTAACTCATGTATTTGGTACAGACTGTTATGCAACTTGGACTCATACTGAGACTCTTGTCGCAGCCTCTCCAGTACTGGGATTACAGGCATGTGCCACTACACCCGGTTTCAGTGGCTGTCTCAGTGGGCCTGGGGAAAGGCTAGCATGACTTGCGGTACTGGGGTTCAAACCCAGGTCCTTGCACTTGCCAGGCAGATGCTTAGACCACTGAGCTATCTTCCCAGCCCCAATAATACATTTTTGATGTTCTTATTGTTGCTGAATCCTGAATGTGTCATGGGGTGATAAATTGGATCAAAGATTTTTGGTTCAATCTTGTTCTGGTGTTGTAAACCAGTTGTAGCTCTCACAGTGCCCAAAATTTCACTAAGATTCTGTGGAGATTTTGTTTTGCATTATTGACCATCAGCCCCATAGAGCTGATCTGTCTCTAAGAAAAACAAGTTTGACACATTTTTTTGACTTTTTTTCTGATGAAAATATTAAGGAATATTACTATAGTGTCACTACATAAGAGGTAACACCTATTGTTTCTTCACTTATTAGTTTTAAGCCACAAGTATATTAAAAATTCATAAAGCAATAAAAACATAAAATAAACTTCTTTATTACATTAATGTATTTTCAACATGATTTGTATTGATATCATTTTATAATAAACCTTACATTTGTAAATCTTAAACCTTCTTTGACTTTTCAACTTCATTATTCATCAGGAGTTCCTCAAAAATGTCATGAGGTAGTTAACTTCATGTCCCATTTGACAGATGAAAAATATGAAGTGAGAATATCATATGATTCCTGTAACACCATTCAACAATAGGCCAAATTGTAAACGGTATACAAACTGTGTTGTAAAAATTTCACTTTTCCATTGTTTTGATTTCATAATGACTGTGTGTATGGACTCTCTGTACTGGCCAGTTTTTCTTTGGCTGGAACAGAACACCTGCACCCACAACTTGAAGGAGAACAGGACCAACTTGGCTGATTGTTTCAGGGAGTTCAGTCCAAGGTCAGCTGATTACAAGGCAGAAATGTCATGGTGAGAGGATAGAGTGCAGTAAAGACTGTTAGTTTATGGCAAGGAGGAAGAATCACAAGGGAATGACAACAGAAGGAGGTAAGGACCAGATGCAGACTCTGAGTTCAGGCCTCTAGAAACACCCACCTAGAAACACCCAGAAATGTGCTTTATAATACTCTGGGCAGACCCCCGAACCAATTAAATTAACACTCCACCTTAACCGTCACATCCTAACCTTTATTAACTTGATATTCACACATAACTGCGTAAACTATAGTTAATTTCCAAATAAACACAAGGTCATAATTCTGCCTAGCATGATACAACTATCTAACCTATAATTGAAATGCAATAATCCTTTTCCTAAAATCTCAGAAATCTCAGCACTGTTGAAGTCCAACTCAAAGACTTCTGTGAGACATGAGGCAAACTTTTAGTTGTGAATCCCTGTTTTTTGTTTTTTAAGTTATATATCCCAGTGTACAATAGCACAAGATAAACACTTGGATTCAAAACGGGAACAATATGGAGTGAGAAAATAATCAGACCCAAACAATATTGAAGCCTAGCAGGACAAACATAAAGCCCTGTAGCTTCATAATCTGTCCACATATCTTATCTTTCAGGTTGGCTCTGTTCACTGTCTGTGATTTTCCTCAGCAATTGTTCCATTGTCCTGACATTTCCAACTACCTTGTGTCTCTACTGCACCTTTGATTTTAATCCCACAGATTCAAAAACTTTCTTCTCAGGGAGCTCTTTGCCTGGCCTTCCAAGCCCTCTTTTGAATCCTAGTTGGAAGTCTTATAAACTACACAGTTTTTGTAGTTTGCTTTCCAGTAGAACCAGCATTACACAAATGACACTAAGGTCTCCTGCTAGTAGAAGCAACAGCCAGGGTCTCCAGACCATGCTTGGTAACCTCTGCATGCCTGACTGGCTGAATCCAGAGATATAATCCTGGGGGCCAACTCCCTGGGAAGCTTTTCACAAGCAAGGGTCACAGGAGCTCTCTTCTTCAGTGAAAGATTTGTATTTTTCACTCTTGTGCTTGTGATGGGTGGATTCTTGATAATTTCTGAGATGACCCAAGACATTTTAGTTTTTATTCCCATACAAAGTCCTTCGTTTCTCATATATATATATATATATATATTTATATATATATATATATATATACTCTGTCAAACAATCACAACTTCTTGGCACCAACTTTACACATGGTTTTGTTTTTCCAATTTTTCTTCTATAGTTTTTGTTCTCCATTTTAGCTATAAGTATGGCTAAAAACAGCTAACACAGCTGACCCAACAGCTTAAATGTGGGGATGTCTTCAAGTTCCCTGTCCCACATCAATTAGTCTGCTATCTTTAATCTTAATCTCTCACAAAGTCACAGGATGTGGACAAAATGAAGACACTTTTTTTTCTTGTCAAAGTATAAAGCACATGGCATCTAGTCAATAGCCAGTAAAATCCTTGTTCCCAACTGAAACCTGAGCCCTGGCTTTACTGTCTACTTTTCTGTCAGCATTGTGATCCTATGACCTCCAACCAGAATCACCCTCCAGGGCTTCATCTAGCATCTCCAAACTTTTCCCAACACATCCCTTAAGCCAGTGTTAAAGCTTTCTAAAGCACACCATCAAGCGTAGTCATGTCCTAATTTTTCTGCCACCAGTTTCCTGTATTAGTCAGTTTTCCGTGGCTTGGACACAATATCCAACACCCACATGTTAAAGGAAGAAAGGTTTAATTTGGTTCAGGTTTTCAGGGGATTCAAGCCATAGCTCATAGGCCACAAGGTAGAAGAAACATCATTGTGGAAGAGCAGTGGAGGACAGCTGCTTAGCTCAGGTAAGCCAGAAACAGCAAGAAAAACAGCAGCATAGAGAAAAGTGCAAGCAACCATTTGTAGACTCTCTGGTTACACCTCGATGACCTTTCCAGACCCATCCAGAAGTGTGGCAAACTTATGGCATGCGTGTTGTTTTTCCTTTAAACAAGAGATGTTCACATATGAGTTGCTTTCTCCAAACTAAAATCACAATATTCAGGTTTAATTTCAATATTTCCACTTTGCAATAAATAAGTGAGTTATACATTGTAACTTGGGCACTCATCTCTAGAATGTTCCTCATCACTGCTAAGTCAAACTGATAGCCAATCTAGTTGGCAATCCACTTTAACCATCACATGTTCTTATTTGTGCTAAAATGTCACTGAATTGAAGAGAGGAGAAATAGTCAAACTAGCATAAACAGCTTCACATATTTGTTACAGAAAAAGTTATCACAGTCTTATGAAACATAAATAAAATTACACAAGAGCCTATATTCTTATTATAGAAATTATATAGGGAATAGTGAGTTTCTGTAGACAGATTTGCTTTCCTGTGTATACCAAAAGAGACTATATTAACTTTAGTATAAAAAGTCCACATCAATCAAGTCCATCTTTAAAACCCTAAATATTTTTGGAAAAGTTCAGATGTTTCTTTGCTGGATGCTGGTGTTTTAATTTAAATTAAGTATAAGACTTTAAAATTTTAGCTCTCCTTTTCCTGACGATTTCTAGTTATTGCTAGTCATTAACTCAGAAATTGGTAAAATTTATTTTTTAAAGGCTAGTGTGTGTATGATGGAGCCTTTTATGTTTACGATATATTGCTGAGATGTAACAACTAGAATTTTTTAGTTGTATTTATCTTGTTTGCATACAGTACGTATGTGTGTATGTGTATGTGTGTATCTATGCATGTATGTAAAGAAATTAAAGTTTCAGTCATTAAAGAGACGACTAGGCAAGAGTTTTTTCTCTGACAAGTCAGAGCAGCAAATTGAGGTCTCACATTTGAGGGTTGAAAGTGAGTTCACAGGCTCTCTGTCATCAAGAGCATGACAAGGGATGATAACCTGTTTAGCACTTAGCAGAAACCCAGATGTTCTGAGTGTTTTACGCAAGTCCGCTCTCCAAACTTGATAGACACCTGACCTTTCAGGGAGCTGCTCACTTAACAAAAGTACCACTTGTCATATTGTGATACAGATAGTTCTAAATAAGTGACTGGATACCTCAGTCCATCAAAATTTAAGGGTTTTTTTCCTGTTAGAAATCATTTGCAACTTGTTGCTTTAGCTATTTTCTCTGTTTTTCATCCTTTTACTCTTGGAATAGGCTCCCAAAAATCTCCCTTTTCTTCTTATAGGTTGGCTGCAGTTGATGTGCAGATGGCAAGAGATGGTTAAAGAATAACTCAGAAATGCTTCTTGTGACACAATGTACTTCTGGAAGTTAGTGCTTGAGTCCATAACAGTGTTAATGGCAAGCTCGGGAACATTTAAATAAATGACAACTCCTGTCATTGACCATAACATTCTGTACTGTGGGATATGAACTCAGGTGAGAGTTCAAGTCACATTGAGGATTTTATGCTCCTCCATTCTATGCATTAACTGTGTAGCCTTCAGTTCTAGAATGTCAAAGCCCTGAATCTTCAGGATAGACTGCTGTTTGAGGTGCTCCAGCTGTTGCATGAGGTAAGATAGCGGTGGCCTGGCAGCTCCTCGCACCCTGTAAAAAATGATGCTCCCCCTCTTGCATAGAAGGAAGGTATCTCCAGGCATTCGTTCATTAATAAGTACCACATTTCCACATTTGAATGAGGAATCGGAGCTACCTGTCACTTGCTGTACCTTCTTCATCATGTCAGAGGGAGATTCTGTGATATGTACACAAAGGCTGCCTTGTATTACACTGGCACAGTCCTGAAGAGTTTTTGACATCTAGCAAAAGCACCAATTCCACATATAGGAATCTAAATAATATACAAGATGAGGTGTTTCAGCTCTCTAAGCCATGGATGTGCTTCACGAGCCACCCGGCTAGACACCAGTCTTTGAAGCAATCCAGTGTCGATACTTAGTCACCCTCGTGTAGACCCCAGGTTTTTTAGGAAGAGCACATGATTGTCCCCAACTTACTATACCGACAATATACCAGATGTCATGGCTGTCATAAACCAGAGGTCCACCAGAGTCCCCCTGGAATAAAAGTAAATACATATTTGAAACTGTCAATTATTTTAACTTAGCAAAATGGTCAATATAATTATTCCTTTTCCATAGATAAAAAGGAAATTAGTACACAGAGTATGCATCCAAAATATAAATAGAACATTTAAGATTTTATGTTGAAGTTTAAAGTGCACTGTTATTTTTAGAAAGGTTAACCTTTATTCATATGGAGCAGCTATACTTCTGATTCAGCATTAATGGATTATTTTTGTGAGTTTAATTTAATAACATTTATACACATAAAATGCTAGACATGAAATTATTTGTCGTAATGCATGTCGAAGATTTCAAAGCTCTCTCTTGAATATTTTTAGCTTAACCTAAAGTGGATGTACTGTTGGTTTCCTTTTATTTTATTTTCCTACTTGGAATTTATGTTTCCTTGCTGAATTTTACAAAAGCTGTTTTAGGACAAAGAAGATTCAGTAAGTACACAAATGTCCATGTAGCAGTTGGAAGTGTGTTCTCAAAGCAGCTGAGTGTATGAATTTTATCCCAGTCCTCTTAATGCTGGCTAGGTGACCTTGGGCAAGGTCTCCTTGTTATCCTAGGTCTCTTTCAATTGTTTTTAAAATATATTCTTTTATCAACTCTTATGTGTATCAATACTTTTTATGGTTATTAAAAATATAATGATAACCAAAACTAAAATATCCCTTATGCTTAGAGTTTAGTAAACTGATATTAAATAACTCCCCCCAAAATGCAAAATTACAACTATGATGTGTACTGTGGAAACACCCCACAGGGGAATCCAACTGACTGGGGAATGGGACTGGAGTACAACAGTGCTGATTGCTGAAGGAACATGGGTTGACCGTAAAATGCCAAGTGGGAATGAAATGTATTCCAGGCAAAGAGAATGGAACTGTAAATGTGTTGGAACATGAAGGAGGCTTGCATGTGGAAGGAAGAAGGGAAAGTGGTGAGGCTGGGAAGGTAGGGTAGTCCGGGGCATCAGGAGCCCTGTTAAGTTTTATTTTTATCATAAGGCTAAAAAAAGCCACCAAAGCATTTTAAGGAGGGATTAGACACAATCAGATTGTCATATTGTTAGAAATAAATCTGATTTTTATTTAATAAACTCACTAGAATCACAAAAAGGATAATGGGGAAATCAGTAGTAGGGCTAGCATGGTTATCTGACAGTGAGAGGGTAAGCAGAAATAAAGCTCTGACTGGGAGGGAGAGAGATCTGGGCAGGTAAAATCCATGGGATCAGATCATCAGTTGGAGAGAAAATTGGGGAAAAACCTTTACCAATCAAAGAAGACAATATTCAAAAGAAAGAAATGATGAACATTAATAAGTGTTGATAAAAGGTGGAAAAAGAATACAATTAAAATATTTGTAGGATTTTAAGAGCACAGATGTCATCAGAGACCTTAGGGAGAGCTATTTGGTGAAGTAGTACAGCAAAAATTACATTGAAATGGCTTGAGGGATTAATGGGCATTAAGAAAATTGGAATTACTGGGTATAGAATGTTTCCACAAATATTTGATAATAAAATTATGTGCTGGGAGTGAGGTTGGGGGGCAATATAAAAAATATACCTAGGTACCCAATAGATGAAAACCAGGGGGAGAGGAAAAGAAAAGGGGATGCTGGTCAAATAGGAAGATGGCAATTCATAATTTTGGAAGTGGAGCAGTTATTGATGCTAAGACCCAATGTATAATGATGGATTTTGAAGAGGCTGAGATACAGCCTAGATCACTGGAGATGAAGAGGCATATCAACTAGATGCTCAGCATTTAAATCAGCCAGGGTTGATTGTGTATTTTAGGTTTAGTATAGGTAACTCAGGTGTTACTGTTGATTCTATTAAGGCATGAGCGGGACCAAGCAGTTGGAGGAGCAAAAAATTTGTGATAATAGAGATAAATAGCATGGTCTTCAGGGGACAAGTTTCTCTGTTTTCTATTTTTTCTTAAATTTCATTTAAGAAAGTAATAATAGATTATAAAAGTAATTGCTCAGATCAAAAGTAGGAAACAGAATTCAATTTCCTAGTTTATAAGTAGGGATAATTTTAGTACCATTTGTATCTCATTATATTAAATAAATATTGCATGAGAAGTGCTTAGTTTTTGCTTAGACACATTGTAAAAACAATGTAGTAACTTTTTATTGAATAAATTTAGATCTTGATAAATGTGATGCCATTGTTTTTCTTCCAGATAAAAATGTACCAAGCCTGGGTAACAGCAGTGCTCCTTTTAAGTTTTGCCCTTGATTTTGGACTTACCTTACATGCGTCTACTTTTCCTTCCATGAAGCCAGCGCACAGCATCCCTGGAGTTATCAGACCATCATATACATCCGTTCTATTGCACACGTCAGTACCTATAGTCTCTACCTGAGCTTGACGAAGTTTGTTTTGTGTAGGTCCTGTCCCACAAACCAAGAAATGGACAATGTATATTTTAAACACAATTGTAAGTCATACAAGGCAGGTAAGTGATATATTTCTAGGAGCAAAAGCACAAAATTAACTGATTAACTTTAACTATTCCTTAATTTTATTTTCTATGCCTGTAAGTCACTTTTCTTTGCTGTGACGAAATACCTTAGGAAAACAATCTAAAGGAGGAAAAGTTTATTTTGGCTTAAAGTTTGGGAGGTTTCAGTCCATGGTTGGCTGGTTCTGCTGCATTGGGTCTGGGACCCAATGGAAGAACATCATGGTGGCAGGAACATGTCACAGAGCAAAGCTGCTCTGCACATGGTAACTAGGAAGAGGGAGAGAGAGAGAGAGAGAGAGAGAGAGAGAGAGAGAGAGAGAGAGAGAGAGCTGGCCACCAGGGCCTCTCCCTTTGGACAGGCCCTATCTCCTACATTTCTAAAGAATATTATCAATTACAAATCCATTAGAGAATTAACCCACTTAAGACATTAGAGCCCTCATGATCCAGTCACCATACAAAAATCCATCAGCTGGAGACCAAATCTTTAGCATGTGGTCTTTGTAAGACATTTTTGATCCAAACCGTAATAATATCTTAAGTGTGTTCATACAAGAAACTAAATATTCATGCCCTAGTTTTATATCATACTGTTGATTGTATGTTATATGTATATTATGAAAAATATTATATACGTGCCTTTTATGTGCTCATCCTGATCTTGTCCAACTGGCACATCTTCCATACAAGGGAACTGAGGCCATGGAAATTTATTGATTATTAACAGCTATTTAACCAGGACACAACTGCACAAATCCATTTGCCCTAGTCTATTGTATAGTATGCTGCTTAGGGATGTCTTGTAGCATGAACAATGAAGTGAATGGCCTATGTGTGCCAACAACCTGATGCCAGAGCAGGAAGACCAGGTGGGAGGAGAGGTTGCCGCTTAATTGTAAGGGAAGCACGCTAGGGACTTGGTCAGCTGCTATTGAGTGCTCATGAGCTAGCAGCAAGGGTAGAAAAAATGAAAAAAAACAAGGGTCTCCCACAACACTGAGTTGCACAGACTTAGGGTATTTTGAAAAATTCATAGTAATACAATTCTATACAAAGAATTAGATTAAGATATAATAGAATTTCTCTGAGTCTCTTCAAAATGCCCTTCATAGAACTTTATATATGTATGTCTTATTTTTTATTTTATGTACTTGTCCTCCATAGAGCAAAGTAAAACAATACTTGGAAACTTAAAGTTCCTATTATCAATTTTAAAAATTCTTAGATCTTACTTCTTGTTATATCCTTAAGAGGTAAGATAGGGGAAAAATGCTGATTTTATTAACTAACAAAAATGAATTTTTCTAAGCATTTATAATGTATTTTCTTGTTTGCAACCATCATAAATTTTTACTAAAATGGGGAGGAACTGAAATAAAGAAAAAAGGGGATTTGGACTAGAGATAAGGAGTGATGGGAGGGGAAGTACATGCAAAGTGATTAAGGTGTCATATCAGTAAATACTTTGTTCAGTTCCCCAAGATCAATGCAATTATGTACTGCAAACTTCTACTAATAAAAATAAAAAATAAAGAAGAGACCTAAGTCTTTGCCAAAAAAGGATTGTGATTTAAAGTAAATGCTGATCAAAAAGTATTTATATTTAGGAAGTATACAATTATTATTAATTACTCCCTCTTTGTCTTTCCTTATACCTAGGCCTTTCACAATTGAGAATTCAGAAATACAGATTTCATTTCTTTTACTTTTTAATCCTCAGATTAAGTGTAATCCTATTTTGCCCAGGGTTGCTTACACAGAAACAAATCCTATTTTGCCCATTATTTTTTATGAAAAGCTTAAGAGGGAGTCCATAAAACAGCTTGTTCAATTTGAAGACATTCTTGTGTTGAGAAAATCAGATTAAAGTTACTTACCATCATCTACAATGGACCCAAATCCTGTGACAAATACACTTGTTTTAGGTGGCAACTTCATAGATGAATCTGGGAGACAAACTCTCTGAACTATATTTGAAAATTCAACTCGGGTAGCCAGCTGAGCCAAAGCAATGTCATTATCATTTGTATCTCTGCGGTAGTTTTCATGAACTATAATTTTCCCCACACTCCGCTTTACTGCTGGTGGTGTTATAGTTGTACCAAAAGTAGCGATCCATTTACTTGGGTCTTTAGTCCTACAAAAAGTAAAAGGGTAAGATTTGTTGTAGTTAATTTTATTCTTTGAAAAACATTAAGACTAACTCTCCCTAAGTACTGGAATTATGCTCTTGGAAGACCCCTATGATGAAAGAATTTATGAAACTTTCTGGAAAAAAGATTTCTTGTGACTAGTACACTTAATTGTGTGCAGTTTAATGAGTAACATTAAGTTCCAATTTTTTTAACTTTAAAATTTTAAACTATTGACTTATTCAGAATTCTTTTGGTTCCTGTTTTATTTTTTCTAATTTCAATCAAATGCATAAGAAGTAATTTCAACTTGTAGGCAATATGAACACTAAGGGGTGTTTTCCTTCTAAATTAAGTCTTTTATTCTTTCTTATATTATTACTTGCTTGTTGGCTTTTGTTTACTGGATTCTACGGTGATTTGCGATTTTTGAGGCAAAGTGTAATGTGTGCTTTGTAAGCTGTCATTTGCACTGAGTTGTTGATCCACTTATGGCTCTGCTCCTCCCTGATAGTCAAGGGCTGAGCACCCTCACTGGGAGCATAGCTTCTACTGCCCTTTGAGCCAACCTGGTAATCCCTCTTACTAATGCTCCCTTTATGCAGATTTCTCTCCTGCAGGTGACAATGCAGGCAAATTCTATTTAATCCAGTCATCTTTCAGTCCAGCCATTTTATTTACTCCAATCACCTCCATAATTATTCTCCAAAGCATACTTTACTCTTTTTAAAATTATCCCCATTAAGAATGACTAGACTTATATAGTAACTTAAAATTCTCTGGGAAGAGGCAAATTGTATAGAAGAAAATAGACAGGAGTGGTTAAAAGGAGGATTTTCTCTTTCATGCGTGATTACTATGTTGATGAATCATGAACAGTTAAGAATAATGAAAGCCTGAAAGATGAATGGCTTTCTTAGTATTCACCACTGTCCTAGGGATAAGTAGGAAGAAGGCCAACACTGGAAAGGAGGCCCTTCTTTTATCTATTCTTCTAATTTAGGTAGTGAGACAAGATTTTATTGAAAGCAGGAATCTTAGGACTGTAACATCCATTTGAAATCCAGACCCTAAATAACATGAGGGAGATACAATAACATAGGGAGCTCATGAACTAGGAAAACAAAACAGATAATCCCTTTACGCATCATTAGTAAGAGAGGAAATCGCGTGTAATGGGCTCACCCATTCAACATGCTTAATTCATAAGGACACAGAGACCCAAAAGTCTAGGGACTTCTCTAGGTGAGAGTCACCCTTAGCCAGTTGAGATTTAAAAAGAGATGGCCCAGATCTAACGTCACATGCAGAACTTTTGCTTCTTAAGCAGAACTGTTTCACAAAGACTGAGACAATTTTTCATGCGAAAGTGCTAAGGTTTGTCTTAAACATAGGTTTTAAAATAAATTGATTTCTGAATTGAAACTACATTTATAAAAAAATAAAGTCTATTTGCATAATAGCTATTTTGCCTTCAAAATACATTTTATTTGCTTATACATTAGTATCTCACATTATGAGGTTACATAGAATTACATCATTACAAAAATGGAACCCTTCTTCATGATAGTCACTTTGTTCAACTCTGTTAAATTATGTCTCCTATATGAAAAACAAATAACAAGCAAAATTTTCTTTGACATAACACCCAAAGCCAAATTTCTCTGCTCCCTCTCATTTAATATTTCCTTTAAAAAAAGGGCTGGTGAGACAGTTCACTGGTGCGGCAGGGGAGATGGCTCAGTGGAATAAGCACTTTCCTGGCAAGTGCAGGGTCCTGAGTTCAGTCCCTGGTACCACATGCCATGCCCGCCACAGGCACTCCATGCACACCACCAAAACCTGGTATGGTGGTACACTCCTGTAATCACAGTGCTGGGGAGGCTGAGGGTCACTATGAGTTTGAGCCATGTAGTGAGAGCCTGTACCAAATAAATAAATAAATAAATAAATAAATAAAATATTTAAAAGATAATAAAATAAAATTTCCTCTGAAGTTTTAAACTTATTTTATTCAATCATTCTTCTATTCTGTCTTGAGTTTATTCCCATCTCAATCGCAGCATCAAAATTTTTCTTATTAAGATCACCTGTAATTTCTGCTTTATTCTTCTCAATGGCTAATTCTCACATACCTCTACCAGCCCACAAGGATTATAATGGACCCACTAATGCAAATATTTTAATTGCTAAAGTTTATACTCAACTAAATATTTAGTTGGTATTATGGTTTCACTTAATTTACATAAACCAAGATCAGTTGTGAATTAATAAAAATGACAGAAACAGCAGTCCAAAGTTTGAAGAATTAAGTGAACAGGAATAAATCACAAAGTCCTAATGAGTCAGTGGGACTCAGGTTCATGTCTAGGGCATGATGCTATTTATTTTTGGATTCAGAAATATAAGTTGTGTCTCTTCTCTTATAGTCATATTAAATTCATTAGGTCACTTTCATTTCATGTCTATCCTATAAACAACGGTACAAGTACCTTAGAACCACCTGAACTATTACTCATAAGAAGATAATAAATATCCTCTCTGAATCACCAAGGTTGGGCTCTCTTGCAGAGTCTGAATAATGCTACTGGTCAGGTAAAGGGTTTTACTCAGAGCCTTTGCCTACTGAGACTAAAAACAAGGCATTCTTTACCTTGGTGATAAAACCTTAGGGAGAAAAATATGGTGTGCCCCTCATCTCCTAGCTTTACAGTGTGGTTCTGTGTGTCTCTATGTGTGTGAACTGACACTACTGAATCATGAGAGCTATAACCATGACAGTGGTCCTGCGGGGTTATTCATCACAGCTGCCACACTGTGAGGGCAGTGCAACAAGGTGAAGAGGCCTCGCCTGTCCTCCATGCACTCTGAATAACACAAACCCACGGGGCATCTTGGATTTGTGATGAGAAAGGAGGCCTTCAGGGGGATATCTATGAGAGTCTTTATTTGTATAGTAATAGTAGATACTGATGCTGGGAAGTTGTATTAATTAGGGAGAAAAGGAAAACTGAAATAGCTGCTTGCTCCTTGAGTTGTGGAAGAGATTAAACTTGTTATAGGTACAATAGTCTTTCACTAAAATAATCTGTGATACAATAGTACAAGTAGCACTAGGATCATGATAACATAGGAAATAGAGGTGAAAACTACTAATGCTACAAAGCGTCATGGAAGGGGCATAGAGTGGGCAGTGTGTGTTTAAGGACAGAGCAAGGCCCACCCTGAGTGCATCAGAGAATAGATTGGTGAGCTTGGGCTCTTCCCCCACACTGAGTCAATGCTGAGAGAAAATTTGGACATTACATTGGACTTACTTCCGGAAGCAGTGAGCTGCTGTGAGCAGCCACATGTTGCTGATGAGGCTGGCCCCACACTGGTGGCCTGCACCGATGAGCTGCAGGCTGACCTGCCATGGCCACTCCCCATCCATGGCTGTTTCCTGTCCCTGGACGATCCGCGCAGTAGAGGAGGATGCTGGCAATGGCATGTTTGAAAGTGTCGTCCTTACCCCACAGCCTGTCACAGAAATTTGTGTTAGTTTGTCAGGAGAAGGAGAAAATGAAATCCTAATGTGTAATGGATGGTTCAGCATCCCTGGTGCTTAGCCTCTGAAGTTATATATGGGCACTACCGATTTCACAAGGCACAAAGGAAATATTTATTAACATTTCAAGGCATTCAGTCCAAGATTGACTTCTGCTATAAAACATATATAGATGGCGAGAGTAAACCATGAAATCATAAATGAGCGTAACTACAAGCAAAGAAAAATTTAATTGGGAGCAGATTAGATTTGTACATAGGGAAATGCACATTCAGTCACACTAACCAAGTGCTTCCCCCAAATGGCTTTCACAGCCAGGAGGAGACAGCATCTCAGTGTGGCTTTATTTGTAGGAAATACCCAAGAGAGAGGCACATCAGAAACTAGAAACTGACACAAGTTGGGGTTGTCTTGAGATAGTAAAGCCTTTGGGGAGATCCAGGACAGGAGCAGACTGGCCAGTCTGGTGACTCACAGACCTTGCAAGGTATTGTTAGGTTCAGGGAATTGTTCTCCCAGGCAGATTCATTTCCTGACATGATGCTGTGTCAATTTGCCTACACAGCACAAGTCTAAGGTTTGGAAAAAGGCCTTTTTACTTTCTTTGAATGTTTTTCAAACATTTTGACTTTTATTTCATCAAAGAACAGATAATTGATTAAGTATCAAAATATATAGTTCCTCTGCTAAATGCTTCAGATACTCTTACAGATTTTCCTAAGTTTCTCAACAAGAAAGCTAAGACTTGGAGAGGGAACACAGATGGCTGGAGGTCACCGGCTGGGAAGAGGAGGCGGAGGGGTCAGAGAAGGCGCAGCAGCCACACCCCGGCCCACGCGCCTCTTACTAGTGAGAGAGATCTCAAAGTTGAACATAGGTCAGGATTTGCCTTTGGTATCACTAACGAGTCATTTTCAGTCTTAAATTAACTATCTCTTCATCTTCTAAAATTTGAAAGTCTAGTTTAAGAAAAATTATTGTTTCCTAATCTGAAATCCTCAATAAGTTAGGCTTTAGATCTATGTTTGAAAAGATTTCAAAGGAGCCATACAGCATTTTAATAGGTGTATGTTTGCCCATAAAAGACACAAAATATTCTTGGGTTAGAGGGCCAGAAAATACACAGATCAGATATTTCAATAAAATGCAAGAAAATAAAAAAGTTAAGAAAAAAATCGTAAGCCCTTATCAGCTAAAAAGCACAGTTGTGAATTGTGAGATGAATTAAAAAATATTTAAAGAGAACAATAATATGTCTAATACTTAAACAAAAGAATAAAATATACAAGAACTAACAGTTTGGTTTATGAAAATATAAAAGAGCAAAAGTGCTTGAAAATTGTGTTTCTAACTCTTCTGTATCTATTTTCATCATTTTGTAGTGCAAAAGAGTTTATTTTTGATGCTAGAACTTACGACTGTTGAGAAGACTCCTCATCTTTCTGTTGTCAATAGCTAGAATAACATATCAAGAATTAGTCGGCAGAATTGTACACTTTTTCATCTTGTTTTCATTCTATTAGTCATTAATTAAATAATTATCTGAAGTATCCACATTGTAATTACTTAAAATATCCATACTGTAAAAGGTCTTTGAACTGTTAATAACCAAGTAGTATATGAGTAATCCTCAATTCTGACTTAATATTTAGCTTAAATTGCAAAACTTTACTTGAAAATGAAATCCAAGAGTATTTTCTTTTCAGATTTTGCATAGGAACCAGAAAAAGAGTTTAGAAAATTACACACTGATGTTTTTCAGTGATAAAATTCTTTTCTCTTCAGTGATAAATTCTTAAAATGGGCTAATACATTCGCCTAATTATTATGGAACATAAAGGGGATTATAAACAGAGGAAATTAGAAAATGACAAATAAAAATCAAAACAAAGACTTACGTGTGAGTCTAAGCGATGGTTTATTGATAGTCAAAGGCAAGTGCATGGTCTTCAGACTTTGGTATAAAGCCCTTTCCACTTTCTTCTTGATTCGTTCTACACTGTCAGTGGATGGGTACCGAAACATGAGCACCATCAGAATGTTCACGCCGCCTTTCGCATCTGGACTGAAGGGCAAAACACAGGCAAATGATGCCATTTCTCTACTCACAAATTGTTACATCTTATGAATCATTAAATTTAAAGAAACACAGGGATGATATATTTTAAAATCACCTGTAGATAAAGGAATTGGAATGGATGTACAATGATCTGGGAGTGTTGGAAGCAATGGTGAAGTAACAGCAACATGTTAGAAACACCGGATGAGATATAAGACTGAAAACATTTCCTTTGGCTCATAGCTCAGAGGGCTTTGTAGAAGGAGGTGTTCACAAATTTATGATTGACATGCACTAGAAAGATTTGCTTCTTAAGTCTTTTTATAGCAGTGGTACCTGAGGTCATTATTCTTCACAGTGATGTGCAAAATACTTTTCTATACCAAACTCAGTTTCCTTTGCTTGCAGAGTTAGATTTTACTTCTAACCTCTCTTCGAGTTAGCTGACATTCCCTAATGAATCATAGCCAGTGAAATGGGAGCAGAAATGATGCTCCCATTTCTATGTCTGGCCGCTGAAACACCTACGGTGTCAATTTCCAGACTCCTGCTCCTGCTCCTCCTGTTGACCAGAAGCAGGAGTTCTCGTAGATGATTCCACTCCACAGCGCACGGCAGCATCTCCCTCTTGGCCCCCACTTCCAAACCTTTGAATAAGTCCTGAGCTGTGGATGTGAACTACACCTTGTTTGTGTGAAAGCGCTGGTGTGATCAGTTGATCACTGAACCGACAGGGAAAGCCACTCACAGATGGACATCACTTCATTAGTGATGCAGATACGCAATGTATATTGAGACGTGTACACATGGAGTCTCTAACAGCCTTTCTGGAATTAAGTTAGTTTGACCAACAAGAAGGAAAAGAAAAGAGGTAGAAAGGAAAGAGGGAAGACAGGAAAAAAAGAAGTGTAAAAATGATAGAAGAGTAAGAAAAAAGGCAAGGGTGCTTTCATCATTGAACTACATACACATAGTCACTTTCCCACTAAAAAGGGAAAGAGAAAACTTCACATATTTTACTATTTTATGTAAAAATGTTTTAAAATATATTTTATTTAAGAAATACATACGTACACATATGTATAGATTTGATACTGATAGTGATGATATGATTATGCCTTCTCACAGCCTTCTGCATCAGTCTTCTAATGTCATACAAACACATATTCAGGATGGATTCCAGTAATTAGGTTTAGTATTGGTAACATGTTTAATTTATAAAGAAATTAAGCCTTACAACAAAACATTAAAATAAAAATAATAACAAAAATACACTTGAAATAATAAAAATGTACTGACTTTAAAAAAATATGCTGCAGAGAAAGCCATAATCTGATGGTTGTATAGGCATAAAGTTAAAAAGAATTAAAAATACAATTTCTGCTTAAAGGGCACTGTGTGTCCCTTCCTGCGTCTTTTCTATCTGTTTTAGACACTGGTCATGCGGCACTCCCATTTCATCTTTCGACTGTGAGTGAGAAATGGTTAGGCACATGATCCATGTTGTTTAAGATCTGTAAAATGTTTGTTTATGCATATGTTTTGCAGGGCAGTTGAGCAATCCTGGGGATTAAAATGCCTCCTTTAAGCATAGTTGAATTGAAGTTACAGACTAGGTTTACGTACCTTAAACTGATAACATGAGATTTGACAAAGCGACCTCCTCCAGAAGAACGCCGAAATATCCTAGACATCTGATTTAAAAATACACATATTTTAGTCTTAAGGGAAATATTATCTAATCATTGTGTTATTTAGAAACATGAGGCTAAGACAAGCTTTTCAGTTAATTGCCCACCACCTGAACTGACTTCATGACAATGAGGCAATGATACCAAACCTGGGTTCTAGTCATTATAGAACTGACAAACCTCAAGAAAATTATGCAACCTTGCTAAAACTTTGACAAATAGGACAATCTGCTTGTCTCATTCTCCATGTGGATCTGCTTCACACTGTTGATTAGAGAAGGAAATAAGATTATGTCATATTTTACACCTTCCCTGGCACCTGGCAAATTATTTACAATGTTGATATTAATTACTGCAAAGTGAGTGTGTGCTATTTTAAGGCAGCATTCTTAGTTCTAAAAAACAAAACAGAGCAAAAACCACCTTGTTTGCTGCACTCATCTTTGAAGGTGGTATCTAGTCCACAACTTGTAACAAGGCTTGCTGATTTCTTCAGTGACGATGCCATGACTGAACTGTGTGAAGCGCCATGTACTCTGACACCCTCACTTTGTTAGTCATCCCGAGGTCACGCAGAGTTTCATATCTGGCACTAGGCTGGGTCATGCATTTCACAACTCAGTTTTCCAATCTAAACCTTTAGAAGATTCCAAATGCTCACTGAACTGCTTTCCTGAAGGGTTCCAATTTCCTAACAGGAGCTCAGTTGACTATGAAGGCGAGAGTACTGGACTGAGCATTGGAAGTCAGAAATTATAAGTACGGTCTCTGTGTCAGTTTACAGAAGGTCTGTCTGCTGGGAATAGGGACTACTTCTTCCCCCTGGGTTTCTCCCTCTGCCTGATTCCTTTAAACTAATAACACCACCAAGTACATTTTACCTCTTAAACAGCCCCTTCACTTCCCTTGCTACGGAAGGGAAAAAATCTCTCTTTTATGTCCCCCAGTGGTTCCTTCACAATGTGAGAAACCAGTGCTATCTCAGAAATACAAACTGGGTGTACAAGACTCTCTCCAGCCAGGTCCCTCAGTGAGTATCACAGTTTTTTCCTTCATTTGGCCTCTGCCTCTCCCTGCCCTTACAGTCAGAGTCACAGTTCTGTCTCTGTCTCTGTCTGTCTCTGTCTGCCTCTGTCTGTATCTGTCTCTCTGTCTCTCTCTGTCTCTGTTTCTCTCTCCCCCCACTTTGCTCTACCACTCTCTCCTTACTTTATGAATTCTTATTTGGTGATACTCAAGGTACAACATATGCATGAAGATTGAGTAAATAGAGAGAAATAGAAACAAAATAAAATATCAGCCATATGCTGGGGATATAGCTCAACAGTGTAAGTGCCTGCCTGGCAAGTGTAAGGTCCTGAGTTCAATCCCCTGGTACAAAAAATAGTTAAAACAATTATCAGCCATTGTACATTATAGGACAGTGAAGAAAGATATTTAATCTTTATTCACAAAGGGAAGATATTTAATATAAAAAGTATATAAAAAGAATTTAATATAAAAAGTAGTGCTTGGAAAATCAAACTTACATAGCAAGAAACCATCAACACATAGATGGATAAAAAATGTATTTATACACAGTGGAGTACCACTCTGCCATGAAAAGAATAAACTTAAGTTATTTGTAGAAAATGGGTACACCTCAAGACCATAATATTAAGTGCAATAACTCAGACACAAAAGTTTACATATCACATCATTTTTCTTATATGAGAAACTCAATATTTATATACAAGGCATGAAATAAAATGCAGAAAAAGGGAAAAAAAGAGTATTGTAGTCCAGTATGAACAGTATACTTAAAAATGTACCTCGTGCCAGGCATGGTGGTGCAGTCCTGTAATCCTAGCACTCAGGTAGCTGAGGCAGGAGAATTGCTGCAAGTTTGAGTAAAACCTGGCTACACAGTGGGTTCAATGCCAGCCTAAACTACATAGTGAGGCCCTGTCTCAAAACCAAACAGCAAGAAAAAAACAAATAAAAAGGTAAAAGTGTGCCTTGACTTAGGACAATCGTTCCACATGTTTTATGTGTTCTTTGGCCTATTAGTTTGGTTTTTAGTTTATACATATGATAATTAGCTCTATCAGGTCTTATAAGATAGATTAATGAGTCTGATGCTGGGAAAGGAAAAGGGGGTTGGGGAGGGAAAAAAGGAAGGAATTGTAATGTGCTGTGTTTGCATACCAGCCCTCTCACAAAGATTACAAAGAATGCAATCACTATGTACTACAAAGATGTACTAATAAAAGTAAATAAAGTTTAAAAAAGGAATGATAGAGTTACTAGAGAAAATTTTATTTAAAGTTATTTCTTTTCTTTATTTCCACTACAATAGCACAGCTTCTCAAAGTAGGAATGATAAAAAATATCTCCAGTATGATTTCTGCCCATAATTGAGAGAGAAACCATGTCCAAACACCAGACTGTATGATTAATTTAAGGTATAAAATTAGTATTTCTACTTTGTAGCAAGGTGGTTAATTTTTCTATTTTAGTCATGATTTCATCATTATTTCTGCTGAAAAGATGAGTGCAACAGTCAAACTCATTCCACAATAGAAAATCATTTTTCTCGCTATCAAAATATCCCCTGGAGGGCGCTGCAGATGGGGCATTCTTCCTGTTCTGGCTGGGTCTGATTCTATTAGGCAAAACCAATCTCCTGCTTACTTCCCTTTCTGGGACAGGTCGATTCTTTGGAGGTCACTGTGGTCTTTCTACTTCCTTTTGGCCCAACGTGATCTTGTCCCTTGTCTAACTTGATCCCAATTTATTCATGAGACATATGCAAATAGGAAAGCACTTAAAAGAAAGCATAACTCTGAATTGATACAGAGACACACTTGCCCTAAGTTTAGCAATAAACACAGATCCTTTCAGTAGCCAAAGGCATTCAGAATAGCACCAGTCTTTTTCTTTACCTCTCAAGACTTCACCACAGATGCACACACATGAAACTAATGTATGAAAAGGAGCAAAAGAAGGGAATACTTGGCTCCAAGGGAAGTAGCACCTTTGTCACTGATGATTGCCCAGGCTTCTTCACCCTTCAAGCTGCAAGTAAAGCCCCCGCAGCAAGTCTGCATCCTCCAGCACACAGTTGCACTGAGGTGCAGGAAGATCCCACCTGCTAGCATTTTGTGCCCAGAATTTTGCCCAACTGGGCAGTGGCTGTCACTAAAACCATAGGGTGCCACGTAGAACCCAGAGGCTGGTCTTTAAATGCCAGTCTGGGCTCCAGGCTGTGTCACACTCATCAGTCAAGCAAAGCAAGTTTGCTCTGGAAAGTCCAACACCCAATGCACACAATCATGTCCTGGGAGCACTCAGTCAGCTGGATGTAAGACAGCCCTTCTTGGAAACTATTTCCAGCCCAACCTCAATAGATGCTGATGCACATTTTCCCCATGTTTAGGGGAAAAGAAGAGCAGACAAAAAGAACATGAATGGATGTATGTTCAGGCAGAACTTCTGAGGTCCTAAGCACACAACAAGAGGGCATTTGTGCTCACAGTGAAGATGTACTGCATGTGGCCATCTCAGGAATGACCTGAGGCATGAACATGCTCAGCTTTGTACTTACCTGATCTGCAGGAGCTGGAATAGGAATGGTGTAAGATCAGGATAAAAATCATCAGAGAAATTTGGACTTTGCACAAAACTTCATGGTCTTGTTTTAAAAGCAGGAGAGTGAGCTCAGCAACAGATAAATAAATAAAGAGAATGTGGCACTTACACATAATGGAATGATACTCTGCTACAAAGAAGAATGTAGTTGAGTCATTTGTTGGAAATAAATGGATCTTGAGACCATAATGTTGGGTGAAAAAATCAGACACGCACATTTACATATATTACAAATTTAAATTTCTCCTATATGAGAAATACAAAGTATAAATAAATAACAAAATAAAAGGTGATTATAGGAAATAGATATTTTGTAAATGGGAAAGGGGGCCAGGAGATAAAGGGAGAAGAGAGTGAGGGGAAAGGGGGACATCAGGAGGACTAAATTGTGTTATGTACATGTGCCAGCTCTGTGGGATGAATGCAAACACACACTAATAATAAGATGAAGTAAGTGAGACCCTGCACACACAAAAAAAGAAGAAAAAAACTAAAGAGAGGAAGAGAATACTCACAGGATTGATAGGATAGTCCAGCATCAAGAGAAAGTTTTTTTGATAAGATCACCAGAGGGTTTCTGGAGGCTCTTGCCCCTGAAAGACTGGGACACTAGTGTGTTTTAAACCCCAGTAACACCCACAGCTGAGGCTGCAAGCAAGCATAATGGCACCAACCTGACTCTGTCCAAAAGTCCACAGAACATGGCTGGCAATGCTCTGGGGCAGGGTCGTTTGTACGCAGCCTTGCTAATGCATGGCCAGCTCCTGGGAGACAGGGGTCAGGGTGGTGCCCAGAGGCCTGGGGTGTATGTGGGTCCCAGGCAGCCCTCACCTTTCCTTCTAGATAACCTAGGGTGGGATCAGGGCCCAAGGGAACCTTCCTACAGCACCCAAGGTATGTGGTATGGTAGGTGGGTATGTGTTGCAGAGCCTCAGACCTACTCAGACCTCTCTCAGTTACAAAGAGTGCTGTTTGCTAATCATTCTAGGCTGGCTGACACTTCTGCAGCTTTACACATTCATTTCCTTTTTTTCTACAATACACATGTTATGCCTAGCAACTTTCTTCAACTACATTTTTGCTTTCCTTGAGACACTCCAGAGACAACTAAGTTAGCTCTAATTTACCCTCCTGAAAGTTTGCTGCCTCTTTACTTGGGCCACTATGAGCACTCGGTTCCATCCTAGTCATTACCCTGTGGTGAACAGCACAGTCTGCATCTCACAAGCTCTGATCTGGACTAGTCAGTGCACAGATGGTAAGGAAGTGCATGAACAAATAAGGATGGAGTGAATTAGGGATGAATGATCCAGCAAAGGCACAGAAATGGGGCCAAACTTTTAAATATAGGACAAACTCTTGAACCAAATGGG